AGGAAGACAGAGGGAAGCTGATACTGCGAGGACTACTTATAAGAGAGAATCAACCAGAATTTGCAGTTGATTGAATACGTGGGCCCATATTTTAAAAATAAAAAAGAAAACATAAACATACTTGAAAAAGCTAAGGAAAGCTTAGCTTTATAATGTCATTGTGCAGAAGATCTAAAGGACATATAAATCAAGTTATAAATGAAAATACCGATAAATTTTATTATATAGATTTCTTTAAATCTACTTGACAAAAGATGCTTTAAACAAGTCATTAAATATAGGAAAATCTAGAAAAAAATACTTTCAATTAATATCACAAAAGATTAATATCTTTTGAAGACATAAATCCTACAAGTATCTGATAGAAAATTAGTCAAAGCTATGAAAAACAATACATTAAAAAGAAATTTAAATGTCATTTAATCATATAAAAAGATGAATATTATAATGAGATACAGGCATTTTCTTTTCTTAATAGGTTGGCAAATTTCAAAGCATTCGATAAAAGTGTCCTCTTAGGAATATCAAAGCATTTGATAAAAGTGTGCTCTGCTATGAAGAGGAATTTTATAACAGTTAAAAGTTGAAAGCTTAGAACTCTCTCTCCAACAATGTGACTTGCATAAATTTATCTTAACAGATATTATCTTACATGAGTGGAAAACTTATATCCAAGGCACTTCACTACAAAATCATTTATAATAACAAAGGACTGGAAACAACCTAAATGTTCGTCAATAAGACTTCTTAAGTAAATGATAGCACATCTGAAAAAAGAATACCATGAAATCAGTAAAAAGTAACATAGCAGTTCTAAATGTATGCTGTGGGTATTGTGAAGTACACAAGATGCAGAACTGTGAGCACAATAAATTGCCTTCTCCACAACATGTATATCCTTGAAAAGCACTGGTATCTCTAAGATCACCAAAAGCTAGAAAATCATTGCCACTGGGAACTTTCAGAGACAGTATGTTTTGTAGCTATTCAAAAATTAATTCACAAAGTTTTAATATAGCATGGACAGACAAAGAAGAAGCCAGTGAACTAAAGGAAAAGAAAGTTGCTAGAAGAAAAGCCATCAAAGTTAAAAGAGAGATCCCCTAAGTTGGGGGTGAAGCATGAGTTTACATCTCAGAGGTGAATTCTGATATGGACATAGAGGACAGCTCTCACACTGCAGCTCTGGAATCGGGCAGTGTTGATGGGGGTAGAACAGGAGAAGAGAGTCAGGGGGTATAGGAGCTTCTAATATGTGTAGAGCTAATATACAAATGAACTTAAATATCTTCAGAAGACAGCTTACTAATGCTCTGGCTCTTTCATACCTACATTCACACCAGATGCTCTAAAAATGATGATTTGAGACAGTAAAAACATAAATGATGCCAGGAGTTAAGGAAAGGGAGGGATTTTTAGGTCAGTGAAACTATACTGTATGATGTTGTACTGGTGGATACATGTCATGATACATTTGTCAAAACCCATTGAACATACAATAACAAGAGAGAACTCAAATGTAATCTATGGCCTTTGGGTGTTAATGACATGTCAATGAGGGTCATCAATACTAACCTATATATCTACCTGGTTTGGGATGGTGGAGGAGGAAAAGGAAAGTATGAATCCATGAGGGTGGGGAATAGATGGTAAACATATGTATTTTCTGCTCAATTTTGTTGTGAACCTAAAACCCACACTAAAAATTAGTCTATTTAAAAGTGGGGGACGGGGGAGGAAGGAGAGGAATGTTTGAACATCTAATAATGAGAAATCAACCAATCAATTATTGATTAAGATATGCATTGCATCTTTCTCCTATGAGTTCAAAGGTTTTAAAAGCTATTCCTTCATTTATCTTCACATTTAAATACCTACAGTGGAATATAAGTAGTATAAAATTGGGGGATAAGAGGCAATATTGGAAAAACGAGGCCAAGTCTCAAGGTGAATTACTGGCAGAAATAGGCCCAAAATACAATTTTCCTTACTGTCATTATTTTTTAAAAATAACATATTAAGGCCATTTTGAGAGCAAACAAGGTCTCCATGATACTTTTAAGTGTATGTGTATATGTGCATGTGTATATCTATGCATATATGATCAATTCTATCTAAGTACTTTCACCAAATTCAGGCATAATCTTCTGTGCCTAATTATTATACAACTGTGCCAGGGACCATAAAACCATTTTAAGAATTTTTAACCTGAGAAAAATGATAGAGAACAAACTAAAAAAAAAAAAAATCACAAGTGCAATACACTTGTCACGGCACCCACAAAAAGAATTTAATTTCAAACTCAAACGTCATCATATCGGAAGGGGAAATGAGAAGCTAATAACATGCATTGACGTTTACACAAAATTAGTATGTAAAGTGTGAGATATGAACCTAATGATGAATATGAAGCAGTGGTTTGCATTTTAACAGACTAAGCAAAAATGTAATTGACAAAGAGGCAAATCTAAATGGATTCTTAGATACTTCAACACTAAGTGCAGCTGCATGCTAATTGTCAGTGCTGTGAATTGGGGGGGAATCCTTTTAAAGGGAAATTTTAATGCAGCCAATATATGAACTTAGACACTTCCCCAAATTTACCATTTATCAATCAAAAAAGTTCTTTTTTCAAAGTAATTTTTAAATCAGAGCATTTAATCTACAGTTATTTTATATTAATTGGAGAGAAAAACATTTGGAGAAAATGAATGAAGGATTTCTGAAAGCAGAATCTGTTCTTGGAACTAAGTCAAGTTGAAATATATTTGTTTCCAAGGACATTAACTATAAAATTTCATCTTAAAGTCCCAAAAAAAGGTCCCTACAAACCCACTCCACATCTTATTAGTGACAGGTGCTCAAGCTTGGAAACCAGGTTTCCTGGGTTGAAATCCTAATTTTCCCCTTTCTTGCTGTGTAAATAGGAACACACCATGTAGCCACACTATGCCTCGTTTTTCTCCTGTTAATGTTAGTGTGACAAAGAGTGCCTACCTCCTAGGATCATGTGAGAATTAAACGTGCTCATGTATGCAAGAAAAGAGACTCTCACCAGAGCATGTCACATGCCCAGTTACTGATCTATAATTATCATTCCCAGTGAGGACAGCAGTTCTCAGATTAAGTATTCTTTGTTAAAAAAAAAAAAATGAAAATCTGGGGGCAAGCATGCCATAATTTTGCTAGTGCCTAGATGAAAAGCATCATTTGTTTTCCCTCACCTCTCACACCCTCCTTGGTGTCATTTCTGACCTTGTCTCAATAAGGATCACTTCTGGCTGGGAAGAAGACCGAAGCCTACAGATGTTGCACAAATGACTTTGAAACAGAGTGAGGTGTCAACTTCCGGCTATCCCAGAATGTGCTTTGAGATATTGACATATTTCCGCAGTAATTCCACCAGTCTTCTAAAGGATGGTTTTGTGACTAGTCAAGTACCTGAATTTGGATTTATATATTAATCCCTTGGGCTCATCTCTCAAATCTTTTATTTATGCTAATATTTTCCAAGGTCATGAAAAAATAGGGTAAAAAATTCAAACTGATGCAGAAAGATTTCATGTTCCTTCTTCCCCTTTAATTTACTAGAAGTCCCAACATCTGAATAGAAGGGAAAAGGCCAAGTCGATGGGCATCCTGGCAGAGTGACAAACCAACAAAAAGAGATGTGAATTCCCACATATCAACAGACCCAAATGAGGCTCCTCTGCACCCTCAAGTCCAGTCACACAAGGCTGGTGTTCCTGCCAAAGAATAAAGGAAAGAAAAGGGGGAAAAGACAGTATGATGCAGCAGCATCAATGTGGAAAGAAGGCTCAGCCTTGAATCTCATACAAACTCTAGTTCCAATGGAGGACAAGAGGATCCGCCTATGTTGAGGGGGAATCAGATCAGAACAACCAAAAACTCCGTGGGGGCCAAAGGGGATTCTTCCTAGAACCTGCGTTGTCAGGCGAGACTTTATGCACAAGGCATTCCTCCAGGATCCAGTAAAGACAACAGAGTCAATGTGAAAAGTGAACTCAGTTATATCAAGCTCTTCTAACACTTCAAACTGCCTCTTCTTGGTCCATGTATTATCTATTCCTCCATCAGCATCCTGAGACCTCCATCTTAGAAAAGCCTACTCACCCAAGAGGTCCAGTTGTCCTCATCTACACCTCAGCATGAATTCAGCCCGTTATTAAACTTTTGATCTCCAAGGTGATTGGAAGCCTTGATGGAGATGGCACTAAGCAAGTACCGCTCAAAACAGAGGACCTACTCTACTTGCACAAGACCTCAGACCTCATCCATGAGCCCACATAGTCCTTTTTCTACATGAAATGTGAAAAACAGAGAATTACTATTAACCCTATTTTTGGGCTTTTAAAAACAAAAAGAACAGATGAATTCTTTTATATCCTCAAATACCATTGAAAGACAACAATCCTTTACATCTAAAAGGAAGCATCATATTGGAAAGAATTGCTTGAAAATCTAATTTTGGTACAGCATCACCACTAAATTGCCATGTAACCACAGACATGTCATTTGATTTTTCTGGGCCATAGTCTCAGTGATACAATTAATGGGTTGACAGTTATTTAAGGTTCCTTTCAATCCTAAAATGTGAGGATCCATTAGTATTTTCAGTTCAAGTACCTTCAGACATGTGATAAAAAAAATTCAATTTGCATCTAGAATATGAACTATATGGTTAAAGGTATAAAAGTGGACTTTCAACATTAATGAAGCATGGGTGTCAGGAAAACAATAGAGACAGGTTTTCCCTAACCCAGCATTGTAAGCTACTTGACTTAATGCCATCCGTGTCTGTCTGTTTTTTCTTTTTACACTACAGAACAGCAAATTGAGCTCTTAAATGTGTGAATCAAAAAAGATCACAGTCAGAAGGCTGCACCTACTTCTTGGAGATTAAATGAGATGGGAGAACAATGGTGAAATATGAGAGCTTATCCTCTAAGGTCACTTGGGGGTTATCTCATAGCACTCACCTTCCACTAGTTGGTCCAGGCTGGAAATCTTCTTGAGCCCATCAATGGTGTAGATTGTTCTCACTCCCTGGGGCAAATTCACATTATCCGACAGAGTTCGGGTCAAATCAGCCAGCAGAGCCTCAAATGATCGGAACCGGTCTGGAGAGATGGCGTACACAATCCCTTTGAAGTATCGATCTCCGTTTCGATAGAAACGAACCTTCTTGGCCTTCTTTTCAGAGCTGAGGGTCTGCAGCGTGCGGGTTCGGTAAAAGCTGCAGTGGGCGCTGTGTGTGGGACTGGGGAGCCCATTCACCCGCGACCCTCTGCTGTATCTCTGTGCCTTGTCCCGCTCATCGAAATGCTCAAGCTCCATGTCTCTGCCGAAGGACATGATGGAGTTAAAGTAGAACCTATGAGGCAAAGAAGCAAAAAGAGAAAAGACATACTGATGTTATTTTAGGATCATGTTTGAAAGGCTCAGCTTGAGAGCAGCTGGTGGAAATATTGTTATAATTGATGATATATTTAATATGACATATCAAGTTGGAGACTAAGAAGACAACAAAGAAACAGAGGAGCAACCCCAGTGGAAAAAACTCATTAATCAACCTCACTTTTGTTAAAAACCAGCTCCCACGTATTGACCACCTACATGGTATACTTTGGATAACTGTAATCTCCAAGAGTCACCACAAACCTTTCAAAGTATTTTTATCCCATGCTACAGAAATAAAAACCACAGTACAGAAAAATTTCTCCTAAGTCTCTCCACGTTGAGAAAGGCCTAAATCAAGAAATGCAGCCCAGGTTTGGCCAACTGCTAGCTTAAGACCCCTTTTCAAGGTACTCTGCTAATTTTAGTAGCAAGTAGGAAATAAAGCTTTTAAACACTATTGGTTAAAGATGGTGTCATGGAAGGTTAGGAATCATAGAGGGCGGGCAGCAGCTGTAACAGATTGCCCAAGGCCAGATGGAGAGCAAGCCAAACCAATCCACAGAAGTTTGTTTGTTTGTTTGTGTTTGTTTTGAAAGTGAATTTTCCATTACTCATCTACTTTTAGTGCTCAGATAAACTGAGTTATAAAAAGGAGGAGAGGCAGGAAGAGAGAAGAGCAGAAAGAGGAGAGACAAGGAAGAGGAAGGAGAGAAAAAGGAAAGGGAAAAAAGGAGTAAGGAGAAAAACGGAAAAGTAAAGGAGGAGGAAGAAGAAGAGAGAAGAAAGGGGAAAAAGTTACTTCTTCAGAGCTCTTTGTTTCACTTTCATTAAAGCTCTCAAACTTTGTGGTTAAGAAAATCATGCCTTAAACACATCAATTCAGACCTGACCCCACACTGACTGCAGACTTTGACAGTGTATCTGATCAACATCTGTTAGCCTCAACTTCCTGAATCACATGTGAGAGTATTAATTCTTGCCTCATAGTATTAAGTTAATATATTTGCAAGTTTCCCATGGGATCAATTCATCCTTGCTAAGGGGTTAGTTGATAAAAATTTGTGTTGCTCCTTGTGGGGATTCATGTCCTAACAGGCAATCTAGGAAGTAGAAAACCTCAGCATTCGAAGGAAAGAAAATCTAATTCCAGACATGTTGAAATCGAATGTAAGGCAAATGGAAAAACTGGGACAAGAATCTTAAGTGTTTCCCGAATCCCATCACATAGATGACACTGCTTTTCCAAAGGTCAGACAAACTAATCAAAAGCATTGCCAAGCCTCCCTGACCCTCCCTTGACCCTCAGTAAACTGACCTCTGATCCACTCAGAGTAGCTAAAACTTCATGCACTGCTGGATATTGTGCACTCCTGAAATAAATAAATAAATTTCCACTCCTGAAGTGGAAAAACCTACTATTTATTGAATATCTACAATGTGTCTGACACTATTAATCAGTAATCGTGTACTGTACTTAAAAGTTCAGCAATTCTAAGCCTCCCAACAACTCAACCAGATAGGTATATCACCATGAGTGCGGTAGGTATGGGATTAAGGCACAGTTCCAAAGTCTTATAACTTGAGGGACTTTGGACTTGAATCCAGGATGACTCTGACCCGAAAGTTGGGTCAGCTTATGTTGCGCCCTTGTTCCTTCTCCCAGGCTCTGAAGTTGACCCCTTGTTACATGTAAAGGAGAGTTTTTGAAGTCCTCATTCCTAAGTAACTCTAAGAATATAGGGTAGGCCACTTCCCCACTAGCCACCTGGTCTCCAGACAGAGAAGTCAATTTCACCAGCCCCTGATATCCTAACCTTCTCGTGTCCCCACTAAGGAGAGTGGGAGAAGCATAGTGCAGCTAATAGTTCATAGTATTTTTTATCTATAAATATCAAAACTATTTCACATCTTAATAATTCATAAGCATCTAAATTTTCAAGAAAAGGTTATACCACACATAGGTAGGTATGAACTGATTTCACTGAGTTTTGAAGTTAAATAACTTCTGAACAATATTAGTTAATATTCAGTCCTTCAAGCAGCTGTTAAATGTGTAACCGAGCCAATATTTTGTCCATGATATGACTGGTCCTACTTTTTTTACTTATATCCTTTCTATATTAGTTCTTTTGTCTACCAAAAGGGGAGTGTCTGTTGGGGGAGCAGCAAAGAAATTTCTAGTACTCCTGTCAACTTCCTAAGCTTACAAACTTTGAATGATACAGAGGTCAGATCGCTTTTGAAGTTTTGTTTGTTTGTTTATTTTTTTAGGCAGTGATCATCCTTTCAAATCCCAGTAGTTTTCTCCCAAATTAATGTACACCAAAGAAAAAGAAAAGCTGGGCCATTGCAAAGGAGGGCATGATCTAGTGTACATCTAGCCCTCAAGAGCTCCTGTTGACTCATAATTTGCAAAGGTCATATAATTTAGTAATTGTTGGAATTCCCCAGAGCCTTTTAAATGGTGAATTCCACACCAAATGAAAAAAAAAAATCAAGTTAAAATAGAGGGAAGTTGATTTTGTTTTATCCTATTGGCACATTCTTCCAAACACAATATCCACTCCACAGGACAGGGCCCACATCCTTTACTTCCCCCTTCACTAAGCCTGCCCCACAGTAGACAGTGATGTTGGTGACAAAGAAAAAGATGTTGGTGACACAGAAAAACCACACTGAAAGTGAAATCTTCTTTAGGACTACCATTAACAGTATATGAATGTCAAAACCTACAACACCCACCCTAGTGTTGCAGAAATTATATACAGCATCAAAATCGGTATTATTTTCCCTTGCCCTGTCTGGCTCAGTTCTTGGCTTAGTGACGATCCATTTGAACCAAGAGCTCTTGAAGATGATTCAATTCGCAGGGCTTCCACAGGTTCCCACTTTCCACACAGGAAAAACTCACGAAAGCACACAGTCACATCCCGCACACCCTACATGGCTAAAGGTCTGGGCACACGTTGTGTCATGGTAACCATAAGGCAACAACAGAGCTCACAGGCCCTTGGGTGGGAAAGGACTCTTATCAGACATTTTCCTACATACAATGTCATGCCAAGAATCAGCATCTTTGATGAAAAAATCTGTAGGATTTTTCACCATTTTGAGGAACCTCTGTGTTCATCCTTCTCTGCATGAGCACATGAGTTCTTGTTTCACAGATTTACACACACACTCACACACTCATACCAAGAAATGATTTGGCAGAAACACTGCTACATCTCTATAAATAATGGGCCTGGAAGTTCCAAGGTATATTTTGCCAGTGGGATTAGGATGCAGGTGGATAGACAGGCATGGTGAAATAAGAGGCAAACACACACCTCCAGAGCCAGCACCACCCTGGACACAGACATCACAGGATGTGTGCAAATCTTTTATAATGTTCCTACACACAACCCTCTTAAAATCCCGTCAGCCCCTCATTCATGTAAATTTAATACTTAAAATGCTGTCCTACTTCCTTTCACATTGAAAGACAGTGTATCTAGGAACAGTCATCAAATGTATTCACGGAACACTCTGCAGTGTGGCCGCCAAACGCGTGTGCACCATAAGCTGTGCACACATTCATGGGTGCCCAGAGGGAGCGGGTATGAATGAAACCTTTCATCTGCTCTGTCTCCTACAAGCATCTCCTTGCCAAATCCAGCAGTGATTCCGCGCAAACCTGGTTTTCAAAAGCAACCTCTTTTGTGGGGCAATGCGGGACTGTGCTTGCACCCCCACCAGGAGGAAAATGCCATTTCCTCTCTGCATGCTTTTAGCACTGCAGGTACTAATTTGTACATGAGGCAGCCTCGCTGTCCCCAGAGGAACTTGAGACCCTGCAAAATGTACTTGCAACGTCCACACTGCTGCCACCAACCATGCACAGCTCGCCCCATCCTCTAGCACACACCACCCTCCCGGGCACACGGGAAAGCACATACACAATAAGAGGCCTGGCCTGGCCACTCCTTCCAAGCTCAGACTTGGTTCTAGCTCACGGCCAGTTCTGACAATGACAAACACCTCTCCAGCAACTCTTCCCTGGTTTTCCATATCCACTTACAACGCGGGGAAAGCCTGGAGGAACCCATTCGCCCGACTCCCGGATTTCAGCCGGGTGGCACCAGACAAAAGAGGCAGGTGCCAGCCGCCCCGGAGCCGCCCGCGCTCTCCGCCCCCCGGCCGGGCCAAGCTGGCCAGCACAGGGCTGTGCCTTTCGAGGAACGGCG